GCCCCCGCCCCCCACCGCCGTCTGCGCCCCGGCCCCCCCTCACCCTGCCCTGTCCGGTTCTAGGAGCCCCTGGTGTTTGCTGAGCAGCCGTCGGTGAAGCTGTGCTGCCAGCTGTGCTGCAGCGTGTTCAAGGACCCCGTGATCACCACGTGCGGGGTGAGGCCGCCCCTCCCTTCCTGACATGTGCGCCACCACGGGGCCCGGCGTGGCCGCCCAGGGGCTGCCCTCTTCGGTGGGCACGGGGTGGGGGCGACTCTGTGTCCATGCCCCAAGCCCACCCGTTGTCTCCACAGCACACTTTCTGCCGAAGATGCGCCTTGAAGTCAGGTAGGGCCCCCCCCCTCCCCAGACCCCGGTCCGGCTGACCTCATTACCCCGCTTGGGAAGGGTCCCTCCGGAGAGGTCCCAGCCTAGGCCCAGCACTGATCATGCCCTTGGCACATGGTGGCTTCTCCCTAGCCCTGCCCCCAGCGTCTCTGCCACGGGGCGCTCAGGCCGGGCTCCGGACCTTGATGGGCGAAGTGGTGAGACCCACGTCTCGGGGCCTCCTGGCCTCAGCACCAGCTGTTTCCAGCAAGAGTGCCTTGGCCATCAGGGCCCCCTGCCTCACCCTCTCAGGGCTGGGCCCTTGGGCCCGGGGCTAGTTCCTCTCCAGGCTCTGCCCCAGCTCCCTCTGCCCTGTCCCAGACTCCTGAGTCAGCCCAGAGGCCTCCGGTCCCTCCTGCTCACCCAGTGGTCACCCTTGGTGGCCCAGCTGTGCCCCCATCCAGATTCAGGCGTGGCAGCGGGGCAGGTAGATGGGTGCATCAGGGCCCAGAAAGAGGCTCGGTGCGGCCAGCCTGAGGAGCCCGTTCCGGGCCTGCCACACCGGGACTTACCAGGGAAGAGCCCGCCCCCAGTGCAGCCTGGTCGCAGCGCTCAGAGCAGAGCTGCCGGGGCCGGGACAGCCAGGTGGACAGTGAGGTCAGCACGCCCTCCCATCCAGAGAAGTGCCCCGTGGACCACGCCAAGCTGACAGTGGTGGTGAACAACATCGCGGTGGCCGAGCAGATCGGGGAGCTGTTCATCCACTGCAGGCACGGCTGCCGGGCAGCGGGGGCCGGGAAGCCTGCCGTCTTTGAGGTGGATCCCCGAGGGTGCCCCTTCACCATCAAGCTCAGCGCTCGGAAGTAAGTGCTGTCCTCGGCCCCCGCCCCCCACCCCTCCCAGGGGTGCTGAGAGCCGGTGCCTCTGGGGACTGACGCCCGCCTCCCAAAGGGACCACGAGGGCAGCTGTGACTACAGGCCTGTGCGGTGCCCCAACAACCCCAGCTGCCCGCCCCTCCTCAAGATGAACCTGGAGGCCCACCTCAAGGAGTGTGAGCACATCAAGTGTCCCCACTCCAAGTACGGGTGAGTGGGCGGGGGTGGGCATGTGGGCTGCCCCCGGCCGGTGGGCGGGCAGGGCGGGGGCGGCGGGGCCTCCGGCCTGGCATTCACAGTCCCTCCTTCAGCGAACCCTTGTTGAGATCTGCTTGTGTGCTGGGCGCTGGGGAGACAGCCAGGGTCCTGGGGAGACGGACCTTAGCGGGAGCCTCACCGTCAGCTATGTAATTACAAACTGAGGTACAGGTGCCGTGAAGGAGAGGCCTGAGCCCCACAGGAACGCAGAGGGGTCGGAGTGGTCGGCGAGCTGGGAGGTCAGGGAAGGGGGGGTCCCTGAGAACTGATGCATGTGTGGGTGTGAGCCAAAGACTAGCATGAGGGCTTCGGGCGGCTGGACCATCATGAGTGGGGTAGAG